AATTCTACAGGATGTAGTAATGGCTAGCAACTTGGATGGCTTTAAAAGGATTGGACAAATTCTTTAAGCATGTTAGTGGCTGTGTAAAAGAAGACGAACAAATATATACATTTATATACCAGGGCAATGAGGAGACTAAGGTAGTGGTAGTGTGTGTTGCTGAGACTTGACTTTTAAAATGTTTTTACCTGAGGCACTTTTTAAAAGGAATAACTCATTACCCCAACCAGAATCCTTTCTTCCAATATCTTCAGCCGCCTTCTTCTGTGGTCAATCTTCTTCTCAATAAATGGACATGAGTCTTAATTATAAAGAACTGATCAAGGAAATATTTATTCAAGAATTCACTGGTGTACAAGGCTTGCTGGTTATTCTGTATTCCTTTAAATGTTGTTATAGTTGACTTTAATTCACACAAATACTTGTAACAGTTTCCAATATAAATCTCAGTATGGCTTTTACTTCCACCAGACTTGTTTTAAACTTATTTCACTGCAAAGTATCTTTCTTTTCTTAACTGACAATTCAAGGCACTGGCTTGCCTTTTTCCTCCTTCAGCTATCCCCACTGAAGTTATAGATTACTACTGGGGTTTCTTTTTCCCTTAGCTCACGAGCGAATTGCTGATTTAAACACGTCCAATTGACTCTCTAAACACACAGGCTGAAGACTTAACACTTGGCTCGGTTTACACTACTCAGAACCACCTTTTCCCTTGGTTCTTTTCTCAACATACCAGAACCAACATTCCTCTTTGGCTCCCTCACCAAAGACTGACTCTCTCTCTCCACCAGTGCAAGTTAGCTTCACCCCTTTTGCTTCTGCCTAGAGGTCTACGTCACTATGGCAACCATAGTAAATGTTGGCCTGCACCTATCATATCACAACACCAATAAATACATTTAAAACATACATTATAATTAGCTATTTCATTACAGGCTGTAATTCATTAGAGCTATTTTACCCAGTTTCAGATGCAGAATGCTTCTGAAATCCCACTGCTCAGGAGAAAGGATGCAAAGGATAGTCATTAAAAAACATTTTTAAGCAGAAAAGGGTCTCTTGACACAATGAGGCAACACGTAGAGAAAATGGTCAATTGCCATAATTGTTTCCACAGTTTGATTACAACTCCCAGAATCCTTACTTGTGCAAAATATCATGATTTTTCTGTTTGTCTATTTTTGATATGTGTATGTCTTGAGAGAAAATATCCAAGGTTTTGCTTATAAGAACCAGAAGTTTTCCTATAGAAAGTAGTCTTTTGTACAAATAAAACAAAGGTTTTTCACAAAATGAACAATTCTTCAAAATGTACCAACATGTCAAAAATGTCCTCCAATAGAGCCCTTTGTTCATGTATGCAGAGACACCACATATAGAAGATTTCTACTGCAGTAAGAGCTTCATAGGGATTTTAAACTTGTTTCTGTGGGAATACAGAACAGGACCAGGAAGGCCTTTTGCCTGATCCACATAACGCCTATGTTCTTATGCTTCCTAACCTTTTTCTAGAATCAGAGGCACATTTCAGAAGAGTAATACTTGTATATTTGAGACTAACAATGAACTGAAAGGAAGCTCTGGTTTAAACATTGTATGTGAAGCTGAAAAATACCTACTCTCTTACAGAATCTCAGCACCCATAAAGATAATTAAGGTAAGCTTTTATAGAACAGGGAAAAGATATTGCCAGAAAGTATATCAGACTTGATGTCTTGTCAACAGGCCACATGAGACTTTTGCCTCTTTGACAGCCAAAGTGCCTAATTAACAGCTTGGAAAAGAGCAGAATTATCATCTGTAGCTATTAGGTTCTTGTGGGTTTTTTCGGGCTATAGAGCCATGTTCTAGAGGCATTTCTCCTGCATCTATGGCAAGCATCCTCAGAGGTAGTGAGGTCATTACCTCTGAGTAGGCCTGGGTAACAACGGAAAAAATTGTTTCTAAAATCAATTTGTATTTGGGGGTTTTTTTTTGTTTCGATATTTAAAATAATTACAAAATTTTCCTTTTAAAAAGTTCAATATTTACGAAATTTCGTAAATGGTAAAAAAATTAACGAATCGATTTCCGAAACAATAACGAATCGATTCGTTAATGGCGGACGCGACCGCGAAATACGCTAAAAAACCTCCAAAACCTTCTGAAGCTTCCCTCTCCCTCTGTTGTTGACTGTTGGTGTGATATTATAATTTTTTTCACTAATTAAACCATAAAACTGGCCCAGACATGCGGAAATAATAACGAAACGACCTCAAAACAATAACGAAACGAATACAATATCGAAATACGAAGCATTTACAAAATGTTTTTGAAAATTCGTTTTTTTAAATAATTGCTCCAGAATGGTTCGTTATCGTTTTGTAATTGAAAAAATCAACGAATTATTACCGAATTACGAATTAACGAAACGAAACCGCCCAGCCCTACCTCTGAGGATGCTTGCCATAGATGCAGGCGAAACGTCAGGAGAAATGCCTCTAGAACATGGCTCTATAGCCCGAAAAAACCCACAAGAACCTAGTGATTCCAGCCATTAAAGCCTTCGACAAATCTGTAGCTATTGTTTTGATTTAGAACCTCATCACCCTAGAGCTTAAAAAGTATGCATCCCACTTGAAATCCTGTGGCCGCCTCCCGCAAAATTCTTGGATTTGAAGTTTAATGAAGCCCAGAACCTCTCTTGCTGAACATTTTAAAGGTGACTCCCTAAATAAAAAATCCCCAGAATTCTGAAGGAGGCATTTTCCTTAATACATGAAAAAATGTAAAAGAAGTAATGGTAGGATAATTTATAACATACATCTTAAGTTAGAAAAACCCTCCATTTTCCCAGTGGAAGAGTTTTTTTCTGAATGCTTGCTCAGAAACAAACAATTCTCAGAAATAAGAACAAAATGGAGGCTTGGTGAAAAACACACTTATAAGGGTTCTTTTCCATTATTTGGGCGGAGGTCACAAGGTGGTAGCCTTTCTCCACCATGCCCGACTTGTAAGCCCATATAAGGGTACTGTTCCATTATCAGGGCAGACTCAAGGAAACCCAGACAGAAAAGGACAGTCCATTTGGGGAGGGGGGGGGGTTGAAGGAGTTAAAAATTTTCCCCTGTTTTCTTGTTATTCCCCACACCTACATCACAATCCTTGAAAGAACTGTAGTTTATGATGTGAGAATGAGGGAAGAGGGGGAATAACCAGCAAAAATGGGGAAATTTTGTTTTCTCCTTCATAAAATGGACTATTCTCTGTTTAGGTTCTATTTTTGAGTCCGCCCTGATAATGCAACAGTACCCTTATAAGTTCTTACAAGACAGGCATGGTAGAGAAAGGCTACTATGGACTGCTTTGTCATTTTGCTGCATACCACTCTGTTTCTAGCAATAGTTTATCAAGATTAATGGGAACTGGGGATCTACACTAGGGATGCATTTTCAAACAAGACACAAAATAATCCTCAGTCTCATGTAATAAGTAGTGTTGCAGTTATTTTGCATAAATTTCTGCACAAAAACCCCAAAAAGCCAAATTTATTTCCAGAAAACATGATTTGTGTGCATTCTAAAGCAGGGAAAATCCTTAACAGTGCACAGTTCCTGAAAACTGAACCATTTTGAACGACTTTCTTGCAATTGATAGAAAATATATTACATTGTTATTCCTTTGCTCCAAGAATGAAATTGAGGATGTACACCCATAGATTCTTGACTTTGTTTTTCTTTGTTTCTTTATCTATCAATGAGTTCTATGCCTCACAGGATTTGGTAGTATGTTAGAGACAGATATTTTTATTCCTGTCCTTAATTTTTGCCATTCATCTGCAAAGAACATTTGAGATACATTCAGAAGCAGCATGTGATCTATCTATCTATCTTCACTTACTAAAGTTAACAAATAATTATCTGCCTATTTTATGAACACCTCCATTCTGATGGATTAACCTTGAGAAAGGTAAATTATTCTATCACAGGGGAAAAAATGCAAGGAAGCCTTTTTTAATCTGTTTTCCTCCAGACATGTTGGTTTAAAACTTCCAATATCCTGTGCCAAATGTATGCAAAACCTATGTGTGTTCTTTCTAAACCTTTCTCTTCCTGGAGCAGTTTTGCAAAGATGCTGGGTTTCATAACACATTAATCTGTAGCCTCTGCTGAAAACTAATCTAGATCCCATTTCATTCTTTATTTCAATAATACCTTCTTTCTTGTGAAGATCTCAAAACTGATTTCAAAATCTAAATTCATTAAACATAAGTCTATTACAAACATTCGAATTATAAACAACTAATAGTTAAGAACAGAGGTGAGGCAACAGGAGGTGAGATAAATCTACCCCTAGGAAGGGAAATTCACTCCTGAAAAAGTTATCATGGGGAAAAGGTGTCTCCACTGAAGCTTTATTAGTAATCCTTGTTCCCACAACAAGCCAAAATTTTCAAGATCCAATTATCACAGGGACAGAAAGTGAAGTGAAATCTTCTGAACAAGGGCATGGATAGCAAAACAAACACCACAGAAGTGGTAACACCTCCTTATGCTATCCAAAGTGAAATTGTAACTGTTCTGACTTACATACATATTCAACTTAAGAACAAACCACCAGAACCCATCTTGTTTGTAACTTGAAGACTGCCTGTACTGGTGGATTATATTTCTCCCTAGCATCAGAGAAAGAATACAAGATGTGTTTCTCTAGCTTCTTGGGAAAGAAACAAAACAGAAACGTTATTCAGGCATAGTAGACAATAGTCTTGGAGCAGCTCCATAGTTTGTTTAAACATCTCATTGCAAGTGTAAGTGATGATTAAGCAGTCTCCACCAGAATACGATGTATACACAGCAAATATGTTTCTGTACCTGCCTGGCATATTCTGTTGCACAAATTCCTAGTTCATTTTTTAAAACTAAAATCTAAACACAATGTTCATTTGGGATCATAAATCTTACTTCAGAGTCATATTCTCATACATAATACTCATCATGTGTGTATACACAACCTACCAGAATTTCTAGTCCATCTTCTTTCCTTCTCAGTTCCTGGCCAAAAAAGTGAGCACTTTAATGGGAACTCTTATCTCCTTGAGTCACACGCATAGAGGTCTTTTTTCTTGGGACCAGCAAGATAGAAGCCAACCCACTTCTTTCAAACTGCCAATCTTTCTTCATAGTCTCAATCTGTTTAAAAAATAAAAAGAGCAGTTGGTTCAGTGCCAAGCATACAGCAATCACAGTGAATTAATCTTGCATTTATTCATGGGAAAAGAGAGTTGTGCTTGGAAATGTGCCTTTTGTGATAATGTCCAGAATATCCAAATAGCTGGGTGATTTGAGGAGTTACAGTTACCAAGAGTAAATGTTCCAACCGCTGGGAGAAAATCCATTACAGAATTTAACAAGCCATAAAACAGAGTCTCACTGTAACATATGAAGTCAACAGTTTTGATAGTTGCCATCAATGAAACAGCTCAGCAATTATAATCCAAACAAAAACAGAGATGGTTGAAAAACAATGCAAAAGAGGGTGGTCCACAGTTTTCAGCCATCCTGGCAAAATGGATCCAATGGAAGAGAACTTATCAGACATCCTTTGTCTCCCACAGAGTGTGATATTGTTAATATCATTATTTAGGACAAATCTGTAATACACCTTAAATATATTTTAACAATCCCCAGATAGCACATAGTTACACACAGAACATAGTACAAATCTATATTATATTATATTATATTATATTATATTATATTATATTATATTATATTATATTATATTATATTTGAGTACCACTAAAAATCACTCCCTCTGAAAAAATAACCAGTCCCTCCAAACATCCTCAGTGCTAAACAAAATGTAGCCTTGGTTAATTTTTTGCTGAACTTCATGGTTTATGGATTCAATATGTGGTTTAAGATGCCAGGATTGCTTCTCCCCACCCCTGCACACAACTGCGATAGTACATCATCAAGCACTACTCCATCATTTCTAGTAGGTCTTGAGCAACAATAACATATGCTGGAGTGCGGTACTACAATAATACATTGATTTTTTTATAAGGATAGGGGAGGATATGCATAAAATAAAATTAAAAATACACTTAATTAACTTGTCTTTTCCAAGGCAGAGGATGCAGAGAAGGCATTTTAAAAATGAAAAGAATCGATCTTTCTCACTGTGTTTATCTTTTGTAACTGCAATCAAGTAATACAAAATAATTGTATGTTGTATAACCAAAGTAATAAGCAAGAAGATGATCGCTGAATGAAGCAAGAGAATATTTATCTATTAACACTACACTTAAGTTCCCAAGATGCTCAACATCAAAGGAGTACCTCCATATGTCTGAACATCTTTCTAAGACATTCTGCTTCAGCAGCATAAGCAAAGTAATCAAAGTATTTATCCAATGAATTGAGCCATTTGTCTTGGTTGATACGTTTTCACGAAATGTTCTGCTCATATCCAAATATTATTCTTCATTTGTAATGATTCATGAATCATTTGACCAAAATTACAGTTTATGGACATTATGATTGCAATTCTTAGCACAATTATTCATGTGTGATTAATCACAACAAAGCTTCCTACACTAGGGGGTAGTATTTTCTTATGGGAAAAGCCCTCCAAATGTACAGTTGCTAGAAAGAAAAGTGGAGAAGGCTCCATGCCTTTAATGTCTGTGTAGAACAGTGAATTTCAGCAGATGTTGCTTATTACATCATTGTGGGATAAGCATTGCCTGCTGCAATTCTCCTTTTCTACACAACTGATGAAGATATGAAAGCCCTCTCAAGTTTCAGTCTGGCAGTTCTATAATATATAACATCGTTTTGATGGAAGTTATTGTATAGCACTTCCCTTCTACACCACTGAAGTAACATTGAACTTCCCAGGCCTAATGGAAAGAATACAATCTTTCCATTCCAGAAATATCACTTAAAGTAATGCTGACAAGTCATGGAATGTTAAAGTGAGATACTGTATAATGGAATTCTTTCTTTCCAAATATAATTCAAAGAGGAGATCCACTACTGAAAATGAAAAAGGGAGAATGAAAGTTGTCCGAAAAATGAAATGCACAGAAAATGAAATGCACAGGTATTAATGAAGCTTCTCATTGTCAATGCAAAGTATTTTTCCTGTATTTAAAATTATCTTGATAATCTGAATTAGGTAAGGATAACAATGTTAGAGATATTGTCCACATTAATCACCAGGGGAAAAAAACACAAATGAGGTCACATTTTACAGGTTACAGTTGCTGCCTTTTGATCAACTACAGAGTTGGTCTGGAAATGGAAGTTGTCAAACATTAATAACCAAGTTTCAGGCAGTGTCATTGTGAAATGGCATGTCTGAAACATTCCTATCTTTTAAGCAAAGAGAGGTCCAGTGCCTCCCTTAGTGCTGTGAACAAAATGGCTGTCAGTATTCCAGAAGACCTCAGACTATATCTTAGCAAAATATTTAAAATGTAGCATCTAGGAGTCAACTTACCCAAACCAGCAAGTGTTTTGTAAGGGAGAAAAATCAGAACTAAGGATTTCATCAGATGGGGTTTGGGGAGCACCCTATGGCGCTTCCCTGCCCATCCCACAACATTGCTGTTCTTCCAGCAGAGGCCCTATCCACACTGAAGTGGAAGTGTCATACAATGCTGACTCGCCACTCAGGCGACACTTCCCACGTGTGATGAAGGAAACATCATCATGGGGGAATGGTGCATGGGGTGATGGATTCATCTCACTGCCCCTTTGTTTGGTGGCGAAGTGGGATGCTTCACCTGGCTCATGTGATAAGGTTGTAAGTAAGCTGGAAAAGGTCAGGAAAAGGTCAGGAAAAGGTCAAAGGGGCTAAATTAAAGGATCATTTTATTAGCAAATGGTCCTTTGACTGCCCCCCCCCTCCCAATATTAGCTGAGATTTTTCCAGCACCCAGAGGAGACATGGATTGTTCCAGTAACAATGCATTTCTATGAGCTATTGCTGTAGCAAAGTATTTTGAAGTGGTTTGGCCTTCGCTGAGGAAGACCAATTACCTTTACAAAAGATTGGGTCTGTGTGGACACGAACACTGCTAGAAATAAACTGAGAGAAAGTTTGGATTCACCTTGAATAGTGTTGCTAATTACATTTAAAAGTATTATAATAAATTATTATACTAAGTGACTTTGAAAGTTAACTCTCAACATTTTGAACATCAAATGCAAATCTAGCAGATGACTTGATAGAAAAAACTAGTTCTTTATCATTAGCTTATACACCAATTCAGCATGGAACTTTGGGTGCATTTTAGGCTTGTGCGTGGATTCAGTTTGGTCAGTTCCCTTTGGACAATCCAGCTTGTTCAGCTTATTCAGCTGGCCGTAACAGTAAGGGCTCAGCCACCATGGGAGAAAGAAACAGCATTTCTTTGTTCTTGGTGTGCTTTTCTTTAAAAATATTTTGGTGGCACAGAAAGCCTTGAGTCATCCTTTAGCTTCTTTGTCACTTTCCCTCCTCTCCTTCAGAAAATACTTTTAAAAATAATAATTACTGTTAGTTATAATAATCCCAGCAAATAAAGAAAAAAGCCACATTCTCAGAAAACTACCTAATTGTCTACCTATAATTTCATGCCTTTGCAAACAAGAGGCTGGATGGCCATCTGTCAGAGGTGCTTTGAATGCAATATTCCTGCTTCTTGGCAAGGGGTTGGACTGGATGGCCCATGAGGTCTCTTCCAACTCTATTCTATGATTCTAAGTTCTCTCTGTTTATATTTTTCTCTGTGCTCTCTGCCTTCTGAATTTCAAGTAATAATAATAATAATAAGTATTAGTAATAATCCTTTGACTGTTGCCAATAGTAAAAGAGAAAGTATAAATGAAGGGCACTGTGTGATGTGGAAGTACACCTTTGTACACATTTGGCAGAAAGAAATAGTGTTTTGCTGCTGCTTCTGGAGAAGTTACAGGACAGGGCCAGCAGAGGGAAACCTTTTGGGGAATTTTTAAAGGAGATTTATTTCTAAAAAGAAAAGAAATTCCTAAAAATCAGGGGATGACCCAAACATTACGAAACTTGGTAGGCTAACAGTGGTAGATGTGTCATTCAAGTCAGGTCATTTTCATCCAGATAGACCTTCAAAATATAGGAAGGGGAGCCCTGGAATCCCCCCCCCCATTGCCAACAATGAGCCACATTTTTGGCTGTGAAACAAAAATGGTTTTTTGGCTTGCTGTTACTGGCTGCATTGGTTACTGGATGTAGATAGCTGATATCTAATTAATAACGGATTTTTGGAGCAATGGGGAATGCAAGAAAAAAAATGTGAGACCCCCAGATCCATTTTGAGAGGTGCACAAAAACAAATCCAGGAGTCTCGTGAAATTCTGCCAGCAGAAACGGATCAAGGTTCAGCCGAAATGCACATGTCAAATGCATCTACATTCTATAATTAATATTGTTTGGCACTACCTTTACTGCTGTGGCTCAGAGCTACAAAATAACAAAAGTTATAGTTTTACAAGGTTTTCACCTTCTCTGCCTAAGTGCTGCCAATTCCCATGATTCCTTAGCATTGAATCATGGCAGTTAAGGTAATGTCAAACTAAATTAATTCTGAATTGTAGCTGCAGTAACTGTGTAATGGCTTGCTCCCTATTGGTGAACTGACAATAGAACAGACCCATTTAATCAAATGCTGAATAATGAGTCATCATATTGATAAATCCCATTGATTAATTAACTGTATTATACCTCAAATTGGTAATGGAATTCAGTCTGGTGGATGATTACATCTTCTTAGTGGTGTCTCATTTTACCTTCAGGTTATTGTTGTAGTTACAAGCATGGCCTTACTAGATGGTTGAGGAGAAACAGTAAACGGTTTAAGACTAGATCAGTGGTTCTCAACCTGCGGGTCCCCAAATGTTTTGGCTTTTAACTCCCAGAAATCTTAACAGCTGGTAAACTGGCTGGGATTTCTGGGAGTTGTCAGCCAAAACACTTGGGGACCCACAGGTTGAAAACCACTGGACTAGATCATGCCTGGCTTCATACTCTACTGTGGAAAGATGCCATGTTTTACACAAAAAAAAATGTACTGTCTTACATGTGGCTTTTTTCCTTAAAATAACTATATGCAACTATTCTAAAGTGTATCTATACATTTTTTTAAAGAAATGTGGTAATTAAG